TTAACAGGCCAAGTTATAAAACTTTTGACCCCAGTAGTTATAATAGAACTGCCGACAGATCATTAACTATAGTGGTGCTTCTGAGAAGAACCATTACTACAACATTCTTGAACTATAATTTTGCAAACCACGTTCATATCTTGTATAAAATTGTTAAATACCTAAATGGAACTGGCTGATATAAATAGAGCATTTGTTTTATAAGGGATAGTCATATGTTTGAGCTACTAGCTTTAACTATCAGCTGTGCTTTGGATAGCAGATTCATATGTAGACAACATGTTTTCCCATAACCTTGCCTGAGAACAACAAGTATATGGCAGTATACAATGTCTCTATTATTGAAAGCTTTGAGCAGGATTCTGCGATGATACCATACTTCTCAAAGTATAGACCAGCGCAACAGGGAAAAACCTTCTCAACTGGGTTTCATTTTGCTATTTAAACATCACCGCAATGTTCACTGTAAAAAAATGGACAGCAAAGTCATGTAAAAGAGAGACAAATAAAACGAAACACACAACTATGGAGTCAATCTAATTTTAAGCCAACTCCTCAGGCAAGTTTCCCTCCTTAAACGCCTTAGGATAAAACCCTGAATTCACTGCAATCCGCAGCAAAATTCCCCATGACTTTAGTGGAATAGGCAGAAACAATCCTAGCAGGATGCAGGGCCCGGGGCAAATCAGCCTGTGCGGGGCCCAGACGCAAAGAAGACGGTGGTGGGGCTGAGAGGGTGGGGGGGCTGGCAAGTGGCCAGTCGCAAAGCTGGCAGTGGGGACCACACGGAGTTAACAGCACTAGGCAGCCCCTGCAGGATAAGCTGCAGCCGGCTCACCTGGCTCTGCAGGGCCCCCAAAGCATGGGGCCCGGGGCGGTCGCCCCGATTCACCACCCCCAGGTCGGTCCTGGAAATAGGAACTGGCCCTAGGGAAAACTGGTTGAAATATTCTGAGAAAAGGAAAAAAGCAACAAAAGAATATTTTAAGTGGCACGAAAATTCAATTAAGGTGACTTTCTAAACTGCCTTGAGAAAAGCAGCCCTGGTACAAGATCTTTTCCCCCATTCATGTTGTATTATAATCCTCACAATGTCTTACTCACATATCTGAGAAACAATTCCTTTCTCCAGACAAGACAGAGCAGAATTTTGTAGTTTGGATACAGCAGCCAATACGAGTGTACCAACTTCAAAGTTATTGGTACTAGTAAGTTTTTAAAAATTCCTAAAAATATTACAAATAGCTTTATTAAGATGTTGGAAGTTGGGGGCAAAACTAGATCAAATGAAAAGTGGAGAGCTTTTAAAACGACAGAATTAGAAACTGAAGTTATATATCACTGTGAAGCCTGGAATGAGTTCTGGCCCTCCTATGTTTGAAGATAAATATTTGTAGTCAGGGTGATTTGTATGATAATATCAGAACTCCTAGAACAGTCGTTGGTCTGGGAATAAACAGTGACCCATCCTGATCAGCAAAATGTTCTGTCCTTTCTTATCTGATGTGTGTTGTCTTTGGTTTGTTTGTTTTTCATGGGAGCCAGATGAACATACACTCTAATATCCTATGGAAGGCCTCCACATAAGCCCCCTTCTTTCTCCATACACTTTTTGGATAGCAGCTGTTTGAACATTTCTCTGAGTTTTAACTTTTAGAAGTAGTTCTGGAAAACATGGGTTATTTATAAGCATCATGAACTTGCACAGAGCTGTACTTTAACAGATCAATGCCCAGATCAAAGGGTTTAGTATGTTAAAGGCCGACTATGGAATAGAAAAGCAAATTCTTCTATTTCACAGACAAATTATTTTACTTTATGGTTATATTGAAATTTATGGCATAAATAAATTAAATTACAAGTTCATTCTGCTGCAGTCCTCACACCTGCAAAACTCCTAACGACATGGAGATTTTTGCTTGAATAAGGAATGCAGCATCAAATTACAGACACAACTGATTCTAAGTTCTATACCTTGCAATAGTGCATTCACCTGTCTGGTTAGTGATCTTTGTAATAGCTGACCTTAGAGAAAAGCTCTAAGAAATGAAGGCTGTATGCCTAGACTAGGCAATAAAAGAAAAGAAGAAACAAAACATACCAAACTGCATGCCCCAGTCACCAAGGTAATTTATTCTGGTTACTTGATGTCCAAGAGCTTCTTTGAGGTTTGCTATGAAATTCCCTGGTAATCAATTAAAGTTACTATTAATCAAAGCAGCAAGTGGTTTCTCATTTCTCATTCCTTTTTATTTTCATTCAATCTGTATTGCCTCTATTAGAAATCCAACCAAATGAACTGCTCTACAGAATTTCTTGAGGAGATTAATCACAGTTAGACGGCAAATCCATTCAGGTATTAACATGCTGAGGTATAACATTCTTGTGCATCTGGACTGTGTTGTATAGTCTCAGCAAAGGCAACAAAAAACAGTACTTTGTATTTATAGATTCCTATTCATCCAAACCTTACAACATGCTTTCCAAGCCCCACTGCATTCTTGCAACACAAACCCCTCTTTTACAGACAGACACACACACATGAAAAGGGTAAATGACCATTCAAATTCTCAAAGACTGGCAAAAATGGAAATAATTGAGGGTCCTGTGCTGTAACCACCATGCAATTTATGAATACAGGACATATCACAGACACAAGGTCTGATGCAAACATATCCTTTGCTGGGACTTTATGCTTTAACATTACTGTTGCATGAGGAAGGGAGGGAAGAAGGATTCCCAACTTCATCTGGCTCCTGATCTTGGCTATTCATTGGAATCATGAGAAAAAAAAAATTTCTATGCCTGTAACTCCCTAAACTTCTTTGGTGGGGGCTCAAGCCTTTTAGCTCCTATGCAGGAGTACAAAAGGATACAGCACAGCTCTTTGTCCAGGGATCTTCATTTTGACACCCTCTTAATGCACACAACATTACATTCTTTCACTCTAGTTTATTCCATCACTACTGGATAAATGGTGATCTATAGCAGAAGTGTCAAACTCATCCTGGGTCAGACCCAGACTGCCAGCCTCACTGAAGACTGGATACAGCCTAGGACATGGGACAGCAGTGATAGGACTGGTGCCAATGGCAGTGGGGATGGTGGGACAAGCAGCATCTGCAGCGGGGACAACAGCGGGGATGGCAGGACCAGTGGTGGCTGCAGTGGTAACTTCCCCGGCCATGCCCCCAACATCTGGTAGCCTGCCAATGAACTGCAGGCCAGATGAGGCAGCTCCATAGGCTGGATTCGTCTTGCAAGCTGTTTGACACCCCAATCTACAGGATTATTTATCAGAATGATGCTTCTCAGAGGAGAGGTATGTGAATAGAAAAGAATGAGCTAAGAGACCCTGTATCCCTCAGCTAACAATTACATCCTTACAGAATGGTTTGCTACAATATTACTGCAAAAGAAACTTAGCTCTCCTTGTCATTAACTGTCACTTTGTACTTTAAGATAAAGAAAGGCTAGAAAAAAACTGAAGTTAATATTTCTCCTAATGGCTTTTTGTGTCATTGTAGCCTTGCTCAAGAACCTCTAATGCACAACTATTCCATTGTATATAGCAGTCACCATGGTGGTTATACTGACACATAGCTAGGACCTGATTTAAATCATAATTTTGCATTTTTCATGAAAATCATGAAATTAAGTGATTTTCAAAAAAATGCAGCTTGCAATGAAATGCTATGATATTTCATAGATTTCATAGACATTAGGGCTGGAAGGGACCTTGGAAGATCATCGAGTCCAGCCCCCTGCCTGAAGGGCAGGAAGTCAGCTGGGGTCATAGGATCCCAGAAAGATAAGCATCCAGTTTACTCTTGAAGGTGTTCAATGTAGGTGCTTGAACCACCTCCGATGGCAGGCTATTCCAGACCTTGGGGGCTCAGACAGTAAAGAAATTCTTCCTTATGTCCAGCCTGAAATGGTCTTGCAGGAGTTTATAACCGTTCGACCTCGTCATCCCTTGGGGTGCTCTGGTGAACAAACGTTCCCCCAGATACTAATGGTCACCCCGATAAACTTATAGGTGGCCATCAGATCACCCCTGAGCCTGCGCTTTTGAAGGCTAAAGAGCCTCATAGATCTCAGCCTGTTGTTGTATGGCCGCTTGCTGGGGAGTTTCCCAGCAAACAGCCATATTATCATTTCACTGCATTCACCTATCACCTATGCCGGCATTTTTAAGCGTAGGATACACAAGACATGGTGGTGTTGAGTGGCTCTTGGAGCGCTGCTCTAATTAATTAGAGCGCTGCTCTAATTAGAGTGCTCTAATTAAAGCACTGCCTCCCCACCCCCAGAGCAGGTGTAAAAGTGCCTATAGTTTTTCTAGGGGTGTAGGTTGTTATTCCAGGAGTGAGTTATGTACCTGGATCTTTAAGCCTGCAATTCAGAAGCTAACAGAGATCCAAATGTCTGATCTGCAAAAGTGACCAGGCACGTAAGTATTAAAGTGACCTAAGCTGGAGACTCACAAGGCTCAAGCAGCTGTGGCTGCAGAACCACACTTAAAAACATTGTAGCCCAGTTAAAAGTGGAAGGGGGACAGCTTCCATTTCCTGATAAAAGAATTAATACCACAAAAGGCTGCTGCACTACATTAGCATTTCACTGCAACACAATGGCTGCTGCAGGCTGGGGAAAGCATTCCCCAGCCAGCAGCAAAAGCCTAAGAGCCCAGGGGAGGGGAAAAGAGGTTGCAAAAGGGACGGGGGAGTAAAGAGCTTGGGGATGGGTAGGGGACGGGCTGTTTGTTCCTCCAAGCATGAAAACTGGGGCATGGGGGTTGGGGGCTGCCTTGGCAGATGGCCCTGGCATCTGGTAGGGGAGAGTCTGTTTGCTCCTCCAGGCAGGAGAACTAGGGTGCCGGGGGTTGTGGGTGAGGGACAAGAACACATGGGGAGAAAACCTGGCCCTAAACCTGGCCCCTCAGCCAATTAGGATGCATGGGTGGGGGTGAGGGGTGGGCAGTGCCAAGATCTGGGTGCGAAAATGGCAGCCCCCACCATGACTGGGTCATAATATTAGCTAGTTGGGCCTGTGATTTAAACCAGGCCCTACATACAGCATTTAAATGTGTAAGAATAAATGTGCTGTGAGTTAGCTTCTAAGCTGGACAAACTGAAAATTAGCCCTAAAAGCACCCTCAGACCACTCACAAAGGCAAGCTTCAATGTCCTAATAAGGCATCATTTTAAATGTCTAATTTGGGATTACTTCTTTTAATGCTCACATGAGTAAGAGTAAATTTTGCGTTGGTTAATAAATCTACTACAACGTAAGTTTTTGTTTATGACCTTTCTTCATTGTTTAATCAATAAAAATTCTTATTGATTACAAGTTTGGCTTGATGTGGGCACTCTACCAAAAGAAGGAAAAACTAAAACCCTTTTTTCACTGAACTCTACAGAAGATAAATCAGCCCTGAAGTTAAGTAGGTACTCACCTATTATTGTGGACCGCAAGTGTCCTACGTGAAACTTCTTGGCAATATTGGGTGAACTGCAACGAACAACCACAGTCAACATTCATTCAATATTCAAACCATAGGCCTGACAGATCACTGCCTCCCCTAGTAAACATGCAAAGACTGGCTGTGTTCTTTTCCTGTGCTGAAAAATTTTAACCTCTCTTCCCTCTCTCCCCCCACAACAAACACAGTGACACCCACTCCCATAAAATTCCTACGTTGAGTTAAAATATGGACTAGCATCTTGTATCTCAACAGTACCCCTAAGAGGAAGACATTCAGACAAGCTACCCCATACTAACACCTGCTGCCTTGTAATTTGAGACAATGTTAAAAATAAAACCTAAATAAATAGGTAACAAGGGATTTTGCAGTGGTGTCTTCTCCCATAGAGACCACTGATCTGGTACCATTTGTCCTCACCTAAACCTCAATGCAAACAACTCATGGGGCCTACACAGCTGACAAGCCCTTCACTATAAATTTTCATGCCACCAGCAAACTTAAGTGTCAATAATCAAGTATTAACTGCTATGTATAATGTCTTATTGGAAGTCTGAAAACAACATGCTAACACACAATCAAAATGGTCTTGCTTGCTCCTTAGTTTGTAAATCAATTAGTTTGGGTTAAGCTAAGCTTGTGATGTGGAAACTCAGACTACCCTTTGATCTACTAGTTCTCCTCCCTCTGCTGGTAGGGGGACTTGCCTAGCTGAGAAGGTGGTGGGAAACCTGGCCCTGGAGCACAGCCAGGGTCTGCCAGGTTGGGGTGAGCAGCCCCTCACAGGCTTCTGCCTCACTTGCAGCTGGAGCAGGGGAGGGGTGTGTTGCCAGACCCTGGGCCAGGCTGGCAGAAAGAGGCAGGGGGGAAAGGGAGCTTTAAGTCACACCTTGTCATGCATCTACAGATGCATCACAAGCAGGACCAAGGAGGTGATCCTCCCCCTCTATGCGACATTGGTCAGGCCGCAGTTGGAGTACTGCGTCCAGTTCTGGGCGCCGCACTTCAGGAGGGATGTGGGAAGCATTGAGAGGGTCCAGAGGAGGGCCACTCGCATGGTCAGGGGGCAGCAGGGTAGGCCCTACGAGGAGAGGCTACAGGTCCTGAACCTGTTCAGATATTTCATAGATTTCATAGACATTAGGGCTGGAAGGGACCTTGGAAGATCATCGAGTCCAGCCCCCTGCCTGAAGGGCAGGAAGTCAGCTGGGGTCATAGGATCCCAGAAAGATAAGCATCCAGTTTACTCTTGAAGGTGTTCAATGTAGGTGCTTGAACCACCTCCGATGGCAGGCTATTCCAGACCTTGGGGGCTCAGACAGTAAAGAAATTCTTCCTTATGTCCAGCCTGAAATGGTCTTGCAGGAGTTTATAACCGTTCGACCTCGTCATCCCTTGGGGTGCTCTGGTGAACAAACGTTCCCCCAGATACTAATGGTCACCCCGATAAACTTATAGGTGGCCATCAGATCACCCCTGAGCCTGCGCTTTTGAAGGCTAAAGAGCCTCATAGATCTCAGCCTGTTGTTGTATGGCCGCTTGCTGGGGAGTTTCCCAGCAAACAGCCATATTATCATTTCACTGCATTCACCTATCACCTATGCCGGCATTTTTAAGCGTAGGATACACAAGACATGGTGGTGTTGAGTGGCTCTTGGAGCGCTGCTCTAATTAATTAGAGCGCTGCTCTAATTAGAGTGCTCTAATTAAAGCACTGCCTCCCCACCCCCAGAGCAGGTGTAAAAGTGCCTATAGTTTTTCTAGGGGTGTAGGTTGTTATTCCAGGAGTGAGTTATGTACCTGGATCTTTAAGCCTGAAATTCAGAAGCTAACAGAGATCCAAATGTCTGATCTGCAAAAGTGACCAGGCACGTAAGTATTAAAGTGACCTAAGCTGGAGACTCACAAGGCTCAAGCAGCTGTGGCTGCAGAACCACACTTAAAAACATTGTAGCCCAGTTAAAAGTGGAAGGGGGACAGCTTCCATTTCTTGATAAAAGAATTAATACCACAAAAGGCTGCTGCACTACATTATTCACCCAATGGGATAATATTCTCACTAAAAGCTGGCTTGAGGCCTGACCTGTCACTACAACTACCAAATACACTCACCAGTCCCAGGAAAAAGCCACAAATATGATTTATGTTCTACTTTTGCTTAGTCCAATTAAGCGACACTGCTACTTGACACTACTGCATACAACACACCTCTTTTATTTAATTACAAGGCATTTTTTGATTTCTGTAAAAGGACTAGTACTCACCTAAATTCAACCACTATCTTTCTTTTGGGCAGTGCAGAGAAGAGTTCACTTCTTATTCCATATTCTGAGCCATCATTAAGCACATGCTGCAACACTGTCTAAAAACAAGGAGGGAAATGGAAGAGAAACTTGTTTCATCAATAGAAAGAGAGCAGTAAAGAACATGGTTTTACTAATCACTGAAATTGATCTTGCAGCCTTCAGGATTAATTAGCAACTCTACGGTAGCAGGCACCCACACACTGCTCAGTGATATTTTTAAGTTTTTCTCTCTCTGCTGTAATATAAGGACTTTTGAAATGTACTCTCACATCTAATTGTTTCAAAAGCTGAAAGTCCTAGGCATCAGCTGGTGAACCTGTTGATTTTGGTGAAAATAAAAGACAGAAAAACCCTAGTTTATATTAAAATAATAATTTGGTCACTTAGGACACAATGGCAAAGTACATGACTTCAAAAAGTGTTGTGGCAGGGAAGCTGAGTCACTCCGGGCACACAGTAGGGCAGTGAGATCAGGTATGGGGAGAAGGTTCCTCAATCCCACTCCTGCCAGCCTCACCTCAATCAGGTTCTTCCAACCAGGCTGGACACCTATGATTTTACAAAAAAGGAGTTTTGCAAAAAAACTGGTAAAACCTTATTTTAGTAGAAGCCAGCTTTGTTAGACTGTCAGATATAGAGTTCTGACCAGAGTATACACAGGAAGCAAGATACCCATCGAGGTATACCACTCAGCCTTCTTTAGCAATGAAGTGCTGAATTCTGCAACAAAAGGCTACCCTTAACCTAGACTCAAGCAAAGGGTCAGAATTAGGGGTGCACCAATAGAGATTTTTGAGGCCATTACCAATGTCTGATTTTTAAGGAGGCATATCGGCCAATACCAATCCGATTTCCAATACAGCGTGGAGAGCTGCCTCCCTCTGGTAAATCTGTTGTGGTGGAAGGGGAGGGGAGGGAAGGGCTGGGGGGG